ATATATATATATAGGGTTTTGTTACAGAAGGATGTGTGTTAGAGCTAATAATAATTTTAGTTATAGACACAGCTTTCCTTGAAAGAATGCAAATCACACTTGACAGTTCTGACTGACGATGTCTACCATAGACATATCTTGCGAGATGTGTTAATGTTCAGAGTATGTGTTGAAGATGACTCTCAGTTACTACCAGCCCAAATTTGAGATAACTTTCTGTTAAATTAACTGAATTATAGCAATTTTTGTGTTGGCTAACGTGACTTAGCTATGCTGACGTCTCAAATACGATTGGCTTCAAGAGTTAATCAGTTGTAGAGGCTCATCCATAGATCATATTTCTGAGTTTTATTCAAAAATTTCTAGTGGTTGATGGAGATTTGTTTTCTTTATGGCACACACAAACAAACACCCATCTTTCTTTGGTGGAAGGTAATAATAAGTGATGCTTTGAACATTTTTTAGCCATGTCAACCTGATGCATAATTCTGTCAGCGTAGCAATTAAAAAACATTGTTTTGATATGTCTGAATAAATTCTTATACTAAGTGATGAAAAAATTGTATCACTCACTAAATGTTTGCAAATTAACATTTGTGTCAGTCTGTTTGATTATTCTTGTTCTGCTGTAAAGTGTTTCAAATCATCTACAACGCTGTGCTAAAATCACAGTTTTCCATTTTTCAAAGGTAGCTGGGATCACATGTGATGCTCAGCTTTTGGGTTTCAGGGCCATAATTTCAGTCGCCAAACTTCCAAGTGCAGAGTTGTGCCTTAGGCTGAACAGTGAGGCCAAGATCTGTGACAGATAGTAGTATCAGTTCTGATGTGCAGCGGTCGCACCGCGCTCCCTGCAGACAAGCCAGGAGACGGGTCAAAGGTCAAACTACACCGTGTTGGAGGAAAAATGAGTCATCATTGCTAAAACGTCCAAGTTAAAGAGACAGAGTGAAGAAGAAATAGAAATGTAGTGAGCGTTAGCATCTACCAAGAAAAGTGGGGTCAGGTTGGGGGTCTTTTCTTGGAGATGGTCTTCTGAACATGATATCTGTTGCATTTTCAGCTACAGTATCAGCAGATTTTGATCAAATGAGACTTAAATCAAGCAGCTATTTCAAGCTGAGCATCTAAACGGACTTCTCAAAGAGAAATATTCTAAAAAATGTGTTTTTAGAAACAGCTTTTGATGCTAAATAAATGTTTTTTTCCTAAATTTAATTTAATCTTCCACCGGAACTTGTCAAAATACATACACTGTACATGCCTAACCATGTGATTAACTTAATTTAGCTTTTCTCAACTTATCTTTTCATTTCAGCAAAAATATGCCCTTATTTTCTCATGTCAGTCATGAGTTTCCCAGCTAATGTTCAGTATTCTGCAGACATCTTAAAATAATCCGATGTGAAATTACTTCTGTGAATTCAGTTTTTCTGAGCACTGACACAAATGTGTGTACAAGCGTACAAGTCTTCAGCAGCATCAGAAGCCAATCCATACCAACAAATCATCCAAATCCCTTCCCGTATGTTAAAATATTCGGTCACATGCCGTGCTCAGCTGTCTCTGGGCTTCTACAGAGCTAACGTTTAAAACACATGAAGCTGCAGCTAATACCAGGTTTTGGAATAATGCTAACAGATTTTGCGGTCGACTAACAATGCTGATCCACAATGTCCTGCGCTGACCTGTCCTGCAAATAGCTAATGTTTTAGTCAGGAAAACAACTGCTCTGATGATATTTGAAACATAAATAATACACAAATAATATCACAATTTGTGCTGCATGGCTGAAAGAAGCAGGTGAGTTTGATGTAATCTGCTTAAACTAACACCTTTTCTGACCTTTCTTATTTACATACAAAAACATGTTGAGTGCATTAACAGTGCAGTTTTAAGGATTAAGTAAGTAAATATTAATTCCTTCACTTTGCTATTTTTATCATCTGCTGCCGAAGGCGGAGCGATAATGTTTTTGCCCATGTTTGTGTGTATGTGCTCATTTGTCAAAATACCTCTAGAATCACAGCAATTGTTCTTACATCTACAAATGATCAACTTTAAGTCAACTCAATTCAAGATGGCCACCTCAGTCAACTGATACTGGATGTACCTTGGCATATTTTACAGATGATGAGCTAAAATTGGTTGTTGTAGTAGTAGTAGTAAGACAGAGTACATGTGTGTAAATGAGAGGGAAGCTGGCGGAACAGTGAGGCGACAAGGAGCAAAGGTCACAAAGGTGCAGGACTTCAAGTGCATGGGGTCCACTGTCCAGGAAAATAGAGAGTGCGGTAAAGAAGTGAAAAAGAGAGTCCAGGCAGGATGGAGAAAAGTCTTACAAGTGAGTTGCGACAAAAGGGTGTCAGCAACAGTCAAAGAAAACAGTTTACAAGACTGTGGTAAGACCAGCTTTGTTGCATGGTCTGGAGACAGTGGCATTGACAAAAAGACAGGAGAAAGAACTGGAAGTAGCAGAAATGAAGATGTTGAGGTTCTCCTTAGGAGTGACAAGGATGGATAAGATTAGGAATGAGATCATCAGAGGTACAACACAGGTTGAACAACTGGGAGATAAAGTTAGAGAGGCCAGACTGAGAGGGTTTGGACATGTCCAGAGGAGGGACAGTGGGTATACTGGTAGAAGGATGTTAGAAATGCAGCTGCCAGGAAACAGACAAAGAGGAGATATATGGATGCAGTTAAAGAGGACATGGAGGTGGTTGGAGTGAGGACAGAGGATGAAGAGGACAGAGAGTGATGGAGGAGGATGACTCGCTGTGGTGACCCCTGAAGAGGGAAAAGCCGAAAGAAGAAGAAGAAGAAGAAAAATAGTTGAAAGTCATTCTCGACATATACTTCAACTGCTAGCAGACCATGCTCTTAATTTTTAGAGTGCATTTTTAAAAGAGCTTTTCTATGTGCACCAAAAACAAGCTGGTGTTATAAGATGATAAAATGAGAAATGGTTTTCATTTAGTTTATGCTAGATGAGCACAAACTGGTTTTTTTTTATGATACAATAAAAGAGGATTTCCAGTATGAATTAATGTGAAAGCCCAACTGAATGTCAAGCCTTGTTGTTACTGTAAATCTAAAAAAAAAATAATAGTTTTTAATCTTTGAAAGTTGCAGATGGTTTAAAAAGCACATGTCACTGACGTTATTTTGTCTGTAAAGTGGTAAAAACTCATTTTGCAGCAGATAATGTAACAGCAGTTCCTTCTCGTCATCGTTTGGTAAATTTGTTTGATAAAAGAAGACGTCATGTCCAGGTCAGCCACGAAAAATGAACATTTAGTGACAATTTTTTTATTATGTGTTGGCACATAGAGGATGGTTGGTGACTTTTGTGTCATCGTGTAAAATATCATAAGTGCTCCCTGTATCTTCTCCCATTACGCTTTCTTCAATGAACTAATACAAGCTGGTGCTTTTCTCAAACACATAATAAAAAGTATCTTTCAAAACTTTTTATTTTTACAATAAAGCTGTGTTGAAACATCTCCTAAATTCTAACTTCTCTACTAAAAGTATTTTGATCACACTTTTCGGACCCCAAACACTGATCAACAACAAAGCTGTCAGCAAAGTGACCAAAGGCCCTAATGCGGTCACATTAACATGGACTGCGTGAGTCACTTTGCGGCCGTCTATTTCTGTTGCTCACCACATTATGCAGCCAGTCATCACAAGAATGCAAGTCCACCCACTCAGTCACAACTCCACGTAACAACAATACATCATGAGTGTGACATGCCCATGACACTGCAAAGCCTCAGTCCAGTGACCTCAGTGTGGCTCCAAATGGAGAATAATCACCGAATCAAATTAAACACAAATATATGAAATTTGATTTTTTTTTTTTTTTAAGTCTAGCAGAAAGAAAGGCATGTTGGAATGCTGTAAAATGCAACACCGCCCTTCTGCTTGTTAGATTATTTTGCGGTACAGCCACAAACAATTTTCACATTAACACCTTCTCTGTGAAAATGTGACACCGCTGGGATGATATGTTGGCTACCTCGCACTTTTTAGTGAGAACTGGGG